GATGCTTCCCCCTGCTAGGCGAGCATGAGCACGTCCCTCTGAGTTAGTGGCGTTGCCTAGGAAGAGTCTCTGGTCACAGTGAGTTTTTTTCGTAAAAAGTTTCACTCAAACTTCATTTTTTTTGTGATGGCCGATTTAAAAGAACAGCGTGCGGCTGTGAAATTTTGTTTGCTGCTGGGGAAAAATGCCGCAGAAATTGTTATGAGGTTGAACACAGCTTATAAGGACAGTGCCATGGAAAATACTCGTGTAAGAGTAGTTTTTTAATTTCAAAAAAGGTGAAATGTTAATTGATGACAAACCTCATTTTGGATGTCCATCAACTTCCCAAACGGGCAAAAATGTCGACTCCTAGTGCATTTGGAGTTCATTCCACTAGGTCAGACTGTTAATTAAGCTTTCTATTTAGAGGTTTCTGAGAAGATTGCATGAGTTTGTGACAAAAAAGCCCTGATTTGCGGCAGATGGGGGACTGGTTTTGCCACCATGACAATGTACCTACCTGCTCATGCAGCCATCTCAGTGCACCAGTTTTTGGTTAAAAGACAGCATACCTCTCTTTCCCCATGCACCTTACTCACCTGAACGCACTCCATGCGACTTCTTTTTGTTTCTGCGAATGGAAAGGGACATGGAAGGACAGGATTTGACGACATGGAAGAGAAGAAAGCAATGAGGAGGTGCTGTCAGCCATCCAAACAGATGAGTTTGAAAAATGTTTCCAAGAATGGAATCACAGATTTGACAAATGTATTAAGTGTAATGGAGAATACCATGAAGGTGATAAGCTTGTTTTGTAAAAAAATTTAAATACAAGACTTTGGGGGGAGAAATTGAGTTTTTTGGGGTATCCCTCGTATATATTCTGTCTTAGAAGGTCGCTGTGGATCCGCATAGTGACAACAGATTTGTTTTAAGGAATTTTTTTGTTGAGTGGGAAAACCTTGTATATTACCTTTTCCCCATTTTATTTTTAGATCATTTCACACTTGTTATAAAACCAATTAAGCACATTTGAAGTTTTTAGTTTTCAGGTTTCCTTTGAACAGATGTTAAATTTTTCAGGGAGACAGTGGTGGGTGTGAGATATGAAAATAATAATAATTTATAATCTATCAAGGGGCCACGAAGTGGGTGGCCCGGGGGAGAGAAGAGCTGATACCAAGGGCTCAATAGAAAGTAAAAGAACGATGGCAACAAATGAACACATATGCCCGATACAATTGATGTATGGTTTTTAATAATACGAGTTGTAAGAGACCCCAATAAAATGATCTTTTAATAAAAAAGAAAAAATGAAAAAGATAACCATGAAAAAAAGTGTTTCCCCCCATCGGAGTTTTCCTACATACCAAAGCTACAGTTATTATTTAGAATTTAATGCCCGTAAATAATAATGTGTAAGTGTGGGAATTGCACCCCATCTGATCCCGCCACACTGAGGCAAAGCACTGGGGGAGTGCAGCGGAACAGCAGGGGAGGGGAGCAGCAAGATCCCCAGGGAATGATGAGGGTGGACTTTGGGGACAGGG